CTCCTAGAACAGCACTCTTCCTTGGAGTTGCCCCTGCCCTGCTGGCTGCCTCCTCAGCCTCCTTTTCTGGCTCCTCCTCCTCCTCCTCTCAGCATCACAACATTGTGTCCGAGTAACTCGTGCTGGTCTCACCCACCTTTAAAGGTTCAGAAGCCATGGGCACGATGCTCACGGGACAAGTTTGCATCTCCGCCCTAGACCTGGCTGCTGAAGTCCAGGTGCCCGTGCAGCCGCCTGCTCACTCAACCTCTCCACTCGTGTGTCTACGGACATCTCCAGCCCAACGCATCTAAAACCAAACCCCGGGTCTTCCTCTCCCACCCCGTTCCACCCGAATCTTCTTCACCCGTTCGACAGCACTGCTGTCTGTCTTTTCAGACCAGACACCTCCCATAGCCAAGTGCCAGCAAATCCTCCTTGTTCTGCTTTCTACATACATCCAGATACTGGCCCAGAACTTCGTCATCTCCTGTCTGGGCTGTCACAGCAGCCACCAAAGTGCTTTCCTGCTCCTCCCCTTGACCCCTTAGCCATGGTTCTGCCCAGCATCCAGGAGAGCATTGCAAAAAGTAGTGTAGGTCCTATCTTTTCTCCACCTTACTTCCGTCAGAGAAAAACCCGGTCCTTTGGCGTGGACCCTGCGGAGCACACGATCTGATTCTCATTATGTCCGACTGCATCTGCCTGCCGTCTTCCCGGTCCGCTGTGCCCTGGCCACCGGCCTGCTGGCTGCTCGTCGGTCCACGGGGAACACCCTGCGGTGGTAAGTGCATTGATCGCTAGTCCTGTGGCCGAGCTGCGGCTCCACCACAGGTCCTTTACCACGCACCCAGGCGCCGTCCTCCCGATGAGACTGTGCCCGCCCCATTTAGCACTGCAGCCTGCCATGCCCTCCCCCGTGTTGACCTCCTTCTCAGTTTCTTTTCCAAACGTCCCAACACACCACTGTTCTGTTTCCTGGTTCCTCTCTCCCCCAGTAGAATGTAAACTTCCTGAAGGCCAGGGGCTTCTTTATTGTTTTGTTTTGTTTTTCCACATCCCCAGCAGCTAGAATAAGGCCTCAGACACGGGGGAAGGTCAACAGACTTTTCTAACACGAGCGGATGCGATGCACGGCGCACTGTTAGTGAGCGGGGGGCCGTTCCTCGGGGCACACGGCACGTAGGTTGTCAGAATGTCAGAGCTGTAGACACAGCCAGGTGAGTGACATGAGCGCTGGTCGTGGTTGATGGGGAGGGTTTTCAACTAAATGATGGAAGTTCTTGTCAAAGCGGTTCCTTTCTGAAACTGAGCCCACTTCGCATAGACAGTCGGGCCTCATTTACTGTTTGGCCAGGTGTTGTGACAGCAGTGTCTGTCTCAAGGTCTATTTCAAGGTTACTTCGTCTGGCTCTTTGCCAGGAGCCAACAGACAACACGGTGAGGTCGGAATTCAGGAGAGGAGGGCGGTCTGGGCAGGGAACAGAAGCAGTGGACTGGGAGCAACTGTCCTGCAGCTTCCCACCTCGGGGAGGAGCAGAGGGGGCGGTTGCGTTTAGGGCGGTGCCAGGAGCAGCAGTGAGTGACAGCTGACAGCAGTCTGCAGTGGGCCAATCAGATACTGCGTTTCTCTGATCCCTGGTGGTCAGGCTGTGCCCACGAAAATGGAATGCAACATGAGTGTTATGTATTATGTCATGTTATATTGTATATATTATATCATTGAAAGGCAGGTAAGTGCCACTGGAGAAAACCAGGCCCTGATGCCGAGTGGCCGAGAAGAGACACCACGCGAACCGGGTTCAGGTGTTTGCAGTGAGAGCAGGGAGAGTGCGCAAGATCCGGCCCTCGCCACGCCCCAGTCCCTAAGGCCCGCACGTGCCCCACTTAGTGCTGCCGCGGAAGGACCGCTCCCCTTCCCGCTGGGGTCTGAAGCACAGAAAGGGGGGGGCATTGGCATACAGATGCTTCAACAGGACGTAGGAACACGCCTCACAAGGCGACACGCCCAGAGCAGGCTGTTGCGGTTGTGTGTCTCCCCAGCAGAGATGTCGCAGGTGCAGAGGGAGGTGGCAGACCGCACAGGGCGGCTTTTTCCGACATCTGATGCAGGTGTTGAGTTTCCCGACAACTCGGGGAGTTCAAACACCGGAGGGCGATTAGCTGGAATGGCCCTGGCAGCACGCAGCCTCCCAGCCGAGGAGCAGGGCAGCCACGGCGCAGGGCAGGGCTGGCCGTGCGCGGAGGGGTCCCGCTCCCCACCCAGCCTCTGCTGGCAGCCCCAGGGGAGGCCAGCGCACAGGGTCACACAGGACTTCGGAGAGAATCCTGGGGGAGGGGGCGAGCTCGCTGACGGTGGGGTGGGGGGAACAGGGCTGTGAGGCACCCGTTCGGGAGTGGAGGTTCCCACGGCCACAGACACCTTCCTGGCGAGAATCTAAAAATACAGAACCTGAGCTACGCGGGGGCGAAGTTCACCCAGCACGGCTCTGTCTCTGCTCTGTATGTCAGCACCCCGAAAGTGCCCTGGCTAGTTCCGGAGAACTTCTCACCTGCCAGTGGGTCGTCATGGAAACCCGCATTGACGCCTACTGTCTTAATCTGCGCTTGGCTCCAGGGGCATAGAAGCGGCAGAGCAAAGTCTTTTGTGAGGCGGAAAAACGTGCAGACTCTTGGTGCCTCTCCATCCGAGGCTGTCACTGATGACCTCACAAAAACGAGGCACGTGTCAAAGCTTGTTTTTCCTCGCTGAGGACTCCCTGGTGCCAGGCCAGCGCTTGATGGTCAGGGACAGGGCCTGGGGCGCATCCGAGGAACGGCAGCGCCCCCAGAGGCAGGAGCTCCGAGGCGGTGGCGACCTGTGTGCCTGCAGGTCCTGGTGCCGGAATCCCCCAGGGGTTCTTCCTGCGGCCGGTGCCGATCGGGACACTGCTGCTTTGGCGCGCTCCTGGGCACCTGTGACGCATCCCCAGTCCGTCCTGTGGACAGGCGGGGCACGACCCCGGCCCCCTGACCTCCAGGCAGGCAGGGAGTTCTGGCCTCGGCTGTAGCCATGGGGACGGTGAATGGTTTTAATGGAAGAATAGCATCTGTTCTTGTCTTAGTCTGCCTGGGCTCTCATGACAAAAGGCCACGGACTGGGTGGCTTAAACACAAGTTTATTTTCTCGTCGTTCTGGAAGCTGTGAGTCCAAGATCAAGGTTCTGGCCCGTTTGGTGTCTGGTGAGCGCTTTCTTCCATGTTGGCAGAAGCCCACTTGCTTCCCACTTGGCCTTCCCTTGTGCGTGTGAGGAGGAGGAGAACTGGCTCTCTGGGGTCCTCTGATGAGGACACTAATGCCGTTGGGCCGGGGCCCCACCCTGTGAGCTCACTAAACCTTGGTTACCTCTCAAAGGCCCTGTCGCACAGACACTCGTGTGGGGGTTAGGGCTTCAACATGGGGGTAGTTGAGGGGCACCCAATTCAGTCCCTGATAGTTCCCAGTTAAACAGAAATACCTTTTGTCCCTGTATCCCTTTGAACTGAATACTGCAGTTGCATCTTTTTTAAAAAGGGCCGGTTAGTAAATGAAAGACTAGAGTGGGCCCATTCTCTTCAATGTTTAGCATGACAGCTGTCTGTAAACCAGAAGTTTGAGAGTCACTGAGTGAGACCATCCTACCGTGAGTGGAGGGAAAGCTGTGATTTGCTCTTGGACTACGTCCAAAACTGTTTTATAGTTACCCCCCTGACACCCCCACTCCACCCCACCCCCACCAAGATTTCCTTGGGATCTTCTGAGAATCCTTTGGTCCACTTGAGAAAAATAAGAGTTAGAAGTCAGTGTGGATATTACCTATTGTGTCTAATATAATAATTGTGCATTTGTAACAGTATAAAATTTCTACAAATGGTTTGAGTTCGAATGAAATAATATGTGCAACACACAGCTCAAGCATAAAGGATGACATAAACAACACCCGTGTACACACTGCCCAGCTTGCGGACAACACCACCAGTGTCTAAACCCAATCCATCCCCCTCCCTCGTCCACAGGAGGGCTGACCTGTGATGTTTACACTGCCCGAGGTCCTCTTCACAGTGTCCCGCATGTTGATTGTGACCCTACCATGTGCACCTTGGTTTTGTGTGGGGATGAGGGGAAGGGGTGGTGGGCTTCATTTCCCTTTATTTCTAACATTGCTGGGGAGGGAGAGAGGGGCAGGCCTCCTGTTAGAGTCCTCTGAGCCAGGGCCCACAGCCTGTCTCGGTGCCCTGCGCCCACGCAGCCCTGACCAGTGAAGCTCTCGTCCTGCACGTGGTCCCGTGAATGCCTCTCTGTGAGGAGCCAGCCGGCTTCAGGCGGCCGCTGATTTTCCGCTGGCTTAGGAGTTCCTCCTAAGATATTCTTAGGTCAGAATATCTCATCACGTGTTATCCACCCTTCTTAGCTGTTCCTCTGAGAACCTGGGCTGTACCTTTGGAAAGGGAAGGCTGTACTGTAACAGTTTTAAGACTTTCACACCATGTTCCCATGTTACCTTTTCATCTGTGCAGAGCTATGCTGTCCTGGAAGAATCTCATTGTGATCGTGCACCAGTTACTTTTTTTGGTCACCTAGTTAATTTGGCCTCTCTTTTTTTAAAGGACCGCACAATAATTTGACAAAATGTACGTAAACAGCTGATTCCCTTGACTTGCTAGAGATCATGCTTCTCATTGGGATGCACCTGGGCAGAAAGGAACAGAAATGCATTTAAGGCCCTGGCTGGCGTAGCTCAGTGGATTGAGCACGGGCTGCGAACCAAATCATGGCAGGTTCGATTCCCAGTCAGGGCACATGCCTGGGTTGCAGGCCACGGCCTCCAGCAACCACACATTGATGTCTCTCTCTCTCTTTCTCCCTCCCTTCCCTCTCTAACAATAAAAAAAAATCTAAAAAGAAGAAAACTTTAGAAATGCATTTAAGATTTAAATTATAACTTTGTTCAGAATTATAGCTTCGTGTGTTTCCATGTGCGTATGTGTGTGTTTTCCACTAGGCGGCTACAACAGACGGGAGAGCGGACCCCGGCCGGCCCGCCCTGAGGCTGCTGAGCGGGTCCGTGTACTGCGGCGCGGAGACTCTGGGGAAGGAGCTCTTCCTGTACTTCGGCCCGCGGGCTCTGCGGTGAGATAAACCTGCCCCGGACTCTGCCGAGCGATGGGTAGGAGGCTTTTCCAGCAGCTTGCTGGTCGTCACAGTTAATCATGGAGAAAATACTCCTCCTTTAAGAGCGCTCTAATGGAAGAGGCTGAGATTCTATCACGGAAAGCAGTGAGCAGAAGAATACATTGTGATGTCATCATGACTTGGAGAGCGAGTCACTTTATTTCTTTTCTTAAAGAACGGATCGGCTCGGAGGGCTTCCTGAGAGAGATCAGAGCAACACAGCTCTGCTCTGCCCTCCTCCGAACCTCCTACACGGCTCCTCTCCCGTCTGGTGGCACCGAATGTTTGTTGCATTAGCAACATCAGTTTCTCGGTATTCATGACAGCTCCTAGCTTGGTTTAAGTGTATCTCTCAGTATCTTTATATTTCCTTGTCTGCGTTCTCTCTCTCTGAAGCCTTGGATGGAATTGGACACTTATTTACAGAGTTCCAAAACTTTCCATGGAGGGGACAGGTTCCCCATTGTTCTGCAGTGCTTACAGAAACTCACTGATGATCTGTGGGCAAGGGAGGCCACTGCATCTACTGCCTCGGTTGACTTAGTGATAAAAATGTGGAAACGTATGTCACTGGCAGAGCATGACCACCTGCTGATTTCTGCAGAGAAATGAAACAGGCCCATGGGTGAGTTTGCCTCTCCCATCTCGGTCCTCCCGGAGTGTAGCCTAAGCTACTGCACACTGTAAAGATTGGCGCTGCTTCCTGGAAGGTGCCGAATGTTTCCTTAAGATATTTGGCAGTTTTAATCTTAAAAGTCTCATGACTAGACTCCATGCTTCTAACTGAAGGTAAATAATGGCCACAAGGAGACGACACGTGACTATATTATGAGATAATCAGAGACAATAGGATTGTTATTTATTGCGTCTCATCTGCCGCGTGCTTAGAGGACTTCAGGGTTTATGTCATTGCTGGTCCTTGGAGGTGTTCCCCAGAGTCAGCAGTGGCTGTCCGTGGACAGCACCGTCCCGTCCCGTCTGGAGGAGATCACAGCAGCACGTGCCCCATGGGGTACGTGGGGCTGACCCACTGCAGGCTGCGTCCCGGGTGGGCCGAGCAGAGCGGGACGTGACGGCATCCTGCGAGGGGGGTTGCAAACCTTGCCGTGTTATTGACCCTCCGGTGTTGGGTGCAGATTTATCTGTGCGCCCCCCCCACCCCCAGACTCACGAGGGGCAGCATTTCTCCTGGCAGGGCTGTCAGGAAGGGGACAAAGGGAAGGCAGTTCTTCAAACTAAGGAAACGGTGCCACCCCTGAGCGGGTGTATGTCAGGGTGTACTGGGGGGAAGTGTAGGGGCCGCTTCCTTCCAGTTCCCTCCAGCCTTCACGACTGTGGGGTATCACAATTCAAGGTCAATGACAGACAATTTGTTTGAATATGAACGGAGCATCCTAAAGTCAACTGTAGCCCGTTTCACAATGGAAGTTAAAAAAATGCGCTCACCAACCTGTGTTGTGTGGCAGAATGGGGACTGCCACAGAAACGGGACAGTTGTGTGAGTCTGCATGTCTGTGGGCAGGAGATAGAGGCGCAGTCTTGACTTTGGACTTCTGTTTCCTGCCCAGTGGGCTGGCCAGCCCTTTAGGGAGCTTATAGCCAGAAACACGCTTGTGCTTAATGATCGCGTACAGTTCTCCCTGAGGGCTCAGCTTTGTACAGTTAAAACTGCCCATGGGTTTGAGTGCCTCTTACAGGGCAGGCCGTGAACCTTGGGGGTTGTGGGGGGCGGCACTGGTTGTGAATCTAGAAATCAGGCGTAGCCCGCTGTGAGAGACAGTGCCACGGAGATATCCGAAGATGCAAATTAGGCAGGGACTGTCGGTCCTCCGAAAAGATGCATCATAGTGCTCAGGTGCTTGTGAGAGCACTACGTATAGAGTGCTACAGATACACACTCGTTTTAGGTGTACAGTTGTGGTAGGCATGATTAATGCCTATACTTCTTCTGAGCACTGTATGGGCGTTCTTCATGTGCAACAAAGAGAAGTCATTTTTAACTTTTTTATACATGTCACGAGTACTCATTAGAGCAAACTGAGAAATGAAGAGCAAGCAGGAATAAGTGTACACATTCCCGTCCCACTACCAAGTACAATCTCTGTGAAGTGTGGTCGCGTGTATCGCCCGTCTCGGGGGTGCGTGCATCTACACGTCCACTCACCCGGACACACCCGCCGACAAGCTGCCGTTGGCGATCGAGATGAACACAGCTGTTCCATCTTGCACCAACGTCTAAAGGATATATATTTTTAATGAATCTCTCTTTCCAAAACACTTCGCTATTTCCAGTCTGTGACGCGCGTGACGCTGAATGTTAGCAATTATCATCCACACTCAGAAACTATATCTGAAATATTTTAGAGGCCCTGCCATCCTAGAGGAGCTTTACGCATGATCGATTTTGCGATTTATTGCAGTTTAAGTGATATGATCCTCTAGACAGACATGCAAGAGATAATGTGACCATTCTTTTTAGGGCGCCAAAAAAAAAAGTCTTTATGGAATGCATCAGATGCTGCTCACAGAAGCGTTTTGCAGTTTAGACTTAGGTTTTGTAGCCTGTCACTTCCCCGGTTAGCCAGAAGAGAAGTGCGAGAAAGATGCTAACTGGGTTCTGGACTGCCGTGGTGAACACCTGCTGTGGTCTGCCCGGCGAGCGCCCTGGTCTCCCGGGGCCTTTCCGTGCCGGAAGCTGGTCGTCTGGCTGCAGGAACCACGGAAGTCAACTTGACGCTAACCTAATCTTACTAACTTCTGCTCTCGTGCTCAGTCTGAGTTTTTGCTGAGACTTTATTTTTTTCACATTTTTTTATTGTTGTTCAAGTACAGTTGTGTCCATTTTCTCCCGCCCCAGCCATCCCCACTTCCCACCCTTGATCCCACCCCCTTTGGTTTAGTCCATGTGCCCTTGACACACGTTCCTTGATGGCCCTCCCCCTCCCCCCCCATATCCCTCTCTACCCTCCCTGGTTATTGTCGGTTTGTTATTCATTTCAGTGTTTCTGGTTATATGTTTGCTTGCTTTCTTGTTTTGTTGATCAGGTTCTACTTACAGGTGAGATCACATGGCATTTGTCTTTCACCTCCTGGCTTATTTCACTTAGCATAATGCTCTCCAGATACATCCATGCTCTCGTAAAGGATAGGAACCCCTTCTTTCTCTCTGCTGCACAGAATTCCATGGTGTAAATGTAGCATAGCTTTTTGAGACTTTCTGACCTGGTGGGGAGCAGGGTCTGGCCCTCTGATGTAGGAACCTGAGGATGTGAGGCCTTAGAATTGGGAGGTGGCTGAGTGCCTCGGCCTGTCCAGAAGACAGTGTGGGGTGCCGGTGGCCAAACCAGCCCACACGCAGCACAGAGAGCCTCACGGGTGTTTAGGCCATGTTCCTGAGACCCCGCCCCATTCCTGGCTTCCCTGCCACTGAAATCTGCACTCCCTGAGATTCCATGAGCTGCTAAGTAGTCCTTGGTGCCTACATTTTTTTGAGTGGTGTTTCTGTCATGTGCTCTTAAAGAGCTGACCATTATCAAAAGGTACAAACTTCCTTCCATCAACTAACTCAGTCACGGGGATGTCATGTACAGCATGGTGATGGTAGTTTTAATAAGGCTGCGTATTTGCAAGTTGCTAAATGAATAGATCCTAAGAGTTTTCATCCCAAGAAAAGCATTTTTTGTAACCGTGTGAGGTCAGGGATGTTGACTGGACTGATTGTGCTTATTTTGCAATGCATGCAATCATTGAATCATTGTGTCAGATAGTTGAAACGAATATAATGTTGTATATTATATGTTATACCTCAATCTATGTCAGTCATACCTCATTTCAAATAAATGATTGAATGAATGGAAAAAAGAAAGCTGAATATTAATGTCATGTCAGGCAGAAAATTAAATATTTTAGTTTTTGAAATGGTAACTCTTTTCTTCTATTTCAGCCACATATGCTTCGGTGTGTAACTGGAGAAAATACAGAAACTTCCACCCCATTTATTTGCCTGCTCCCTGCACCTGACAGCCGGCGGGGTCACGGCTTCTGCTGCTTTCCTCTTCCTGCCTCTTTCCATAAAACACACTGTTTTATTCTAAATTTCCCCTAGTTTAAAAGTTATTTAAGTCAATCATACAACATTACGATAGTTCCAAAAAGTGTAAAGGAAAAAATAAATAGCACCAAAAAAAGCACTCTTAACGGTTTTTGTGACTATCATAGATAAAATATAAGTTGTATATAAACTATGTATTCATCCATGGCATGGATTGTAATATGATATTACATAGAATAATTTCATAGAAATGGGGATTTTAATTTACATTTGGCTTTTCATTACACATACATGCATATTGTATTGGTCGGTCAATGTTGAAATATACACCTGCCTTATCATATATGTGTGCAAAGCGTACCAGTGTATGGTTCTATCATCATTTTTAAAACTATTTTTATTTATTTTTAGAGAGAGGGGAAGGAAGGGAGAAAGAGAGGGAGAGAAACATCAATGTGCGGTTGTCTCTCATGTGCCCCTCAACTGGGGACCTGGTGCGGAACCCAGGCGTGTGTCCTGACTGGGAATCGAACCGGTGACCCTTTGGTTTGCAGGCCTGTGCTCAATCCACTGAGCCACACCAGCCAGGGCAGATCTATCATTGTTTAATCAACCACTGCTGATGAGCATTTTCCCTTATTTTTCACTCTCATAAATAACTCTGAAGTTAACATCTCTGCACACATGTTACTATTTTCCTGGGATACACTCCTAGACGTGGATTTGCTGAGTCTTACTTCCTGGTGCTCTTGGTATCAGTTTTGAAGGCACGTAGAAATCTGTCCCGAAGGGAGAGCAAAGCGCCCCCGACTGGTGGCACAGGAGGGAATGACGTGCGTGTGGCCCGCGGTGGCTCTGAGTCCGTGTGTTCATTCACGCGGCGGCGCCACGCTTTCAAAGCCGGTGAGCACGGTAACCCTGCGGAAGGTGGGGGACTCAGCACCGCACGCTCCCCTGGCCTGGATTCCGCAGTCAGTCACTTGAATTTTTAGACTGATTTTAAGTTTCCTGCCCTGTTACCACTTCTGGGACATCTTTGGGTCTGGCTCTGTTGACCACTTGTCTCTCAGCATTGGGTTTTATGTCTTTATCTTTTTGTGTGTGTGCATTATGATTTTTCTTTAATTCTAGGTATCACATTTGGAAGAACATAATATTTAAGCCCAGAAATAGTAATGCACCTTCCAGGGGGTGGTGAGGGTGGGGGACTGAGTGGGTCTGACGGCAGTTGAGTCTGGTTCAGGTTTTGGGGTGTGCTGTTGCCTTCTGCGCATTGGCCAGGTCCGAAACTCCAGCTGTTCCCGCCGCTTTGTGGCTGCTCTGCGGCTGGTGCGGGGCCTGGGGAGGCAAGGGCCGGCCTCTCTGTGCACACTGCACCCTCGGGCCGCAGGGGAGTCCGAGCTCCCGAGTCTCCTTCCTGTGTCCCAGTGGGAACAGTCTCCTCGCATCATTGCAAGATTCTGTTCAGAGCTGAGCCCCCGCTGCACCCCCAGGGACAGGTGGCTTCAGATGCTGCTGGTCCTCAGCAGCTGTGCGCCTGCCCTGGGCCTGGGGCGCCGGGTGCAGCCCTGCCCTCCCCAGCAGCAGACCTCTGGTGCTTGTCATTGGGTGCAAGACTTACCTCGCGGCGAGTCTTTTGGGACGGAAAGCCTTTGGCTTTCACCTCTCCCTCTGCTATAACGGTGTAAGGCTTTTTAAGGCGTTGGCTTCACTGGAGTGTTTGAGAAGCAGGCAGGGTTTGTGCAGACGGGTGCCCTACTGCCCAGGGTGACTCCTTCAGGTCCAGGTCCGCTGCTGTGACTGCCCCCTTCCTCCCGCGCAGCCACTGCGTGGACACTGCGGAAAGCACTCAGAGTAAGGACACAGCCAGCTTCCGTCCGCCTCCAGGAATTCCAAACCGACCTACCAGCCACACTCAGTACTTGCAAAGTTGTTGAAAATTTAGCTGGTTTTTTTTCCTTACCCATTTTTATGTTGGCGGTCTCTTCTTCCCGTGCTCTACCACGGTGGGCCAGTTGTCTGTTTGTCTTTCCATGGAGGGCTTGTCACTCATCGGAATCTAGCTGCCTGGCTGCCTGCAGACTCGCGTTTCTGATGGGCTCAAGAACATCTGTGGTTTTGGACGTAACGCGATTTCTTTTTTCTCCTCGCTGGGGTGGGAGCTCCACTCGCTCTCAGCTTCTGAAGTCTCGGGAGGAAGCACACCACCCTTCTTCCTCTTCAACAGACTGTATTCAGGCTGTATTTCTTCTATAACCTACTTCTCTGCGTTCCTAGCATAAACTACACTCGTCATGTTCAGCTCTGTTATATCTCAGATACTTCTGACCACCTGGTAATGTTCATAAGCAATCGCCTTATTAGCAGCGTGTCGTCATTAACATGAATCTGTAACCGGGCTGCTGTGAATGCTGTTCATGTTGTTCATGCTGAAGGGCGTGCAGGTGACTCTGACGGGGTAGCCTGGGTGCGTGTGGCTAATGTCTCAGGTAGAATCAGGTCTTAGGTACCGGTTTGTTTTAGGAAGTTATTTCTAAGTGGAGGGAGTTTCTGTCTCTTCAATTTTTAGTCTGGACATAGTGTGTGCACTGTGCCTTTGGTTGTAAGTGACAGACACCCAACTCAGACAAGTCCAGTAGTTATTTATTGTAAGAATTCGGGGTGTCGTATGATCCCCGAAGGTAATGCAGCCGGGCCTCAGGGAGACCTGGGAGCAACGGCTCAACGTAGCGATGGCCGGACGTGGGGGCGGCGGCGGCGAGGACTGCCCTTCCCGAGTCTGGCGCTCACGGACACCTGCACTCAGGCCTCCCGGCCCTTCCCTGGTGTCGGGGAACGCTGCCATGGACAGACCGCTCCCCTGTTAGCTCTCCCCAAACCGCAAAGAAGCGACCTCTCTGTGTCCCAAGTCCGTAAGATCACCGGGAGAACTCGGGTGAATCCAGCTTAGATGCGGATGGATCCTGCGTGACTCCGGTGTCCGTTCCAGAGTCCCCTGTGTCTGAAGTGGGGGCAGGCAGGGTCCACTTCGGGTTGGGCCCAACACTCACCGCGGTCAGGTCAGGCAGAGTCACGCGGTGCAGAGGGAGTGATCTCCGGGGGCCACTGGATGGGGGAGGGAGGGGGGAGGGAGCTCGAGAGGATCAACAGACAGCAATAAGGTTCTAATAAAATTGTCCTGCCCCGGCCGGTTCCTCAGTCAGTTAGAGCATCTCCCAGAGACGCCAAAGTTGCGGGTTCGATCTCCCGTCAGGGCACATTCTAGAACCAACCAGAATCAACCAGCGAATGCATCAGTAATTGGAACAGTGAACCGATGTCTCTCCCCCTGCCCACTGTATCTTCCTCTCTCTCTAAAAGCAATCGATATAAAAATTGAGACACATTCCCACGCTAGGTTATTATCATGAGGACAGTGGAGAAGCAACTTTAGCTCTCGGGTGCGCATGTCACACGAGCCTCTGTCCTGGGTGGTGATGGTTCCGGTGCCAGAGATGCTCATGGCGCCCCAACATTTTCCACCGTGCAGATTTCCCCCGTCTAGGTTAAAGGGACTTAACAATAAACACATAGAATCTGTTGGTTTATTGGGGCTCAGTTATCTATCAAAGCTTAGCTATTTAATAGAGGTAAAATGAAAGGTAGTCCTTCTAGGCACCTTTCCCCGTAAATTGACTAGCTTTATGGAGAAGACCCAAAAAAGGCATGCTTCCTGGGATGACTCCTGCATCCGAACTGGGCCTTCGCCTTTCCGATGTTGTGTAGGTGCGGTTTCATTATCGGAAGTGATTTAGAAGCCCCTTTATGAGCCGCGTGGCTGGAGGGATTCTAGAGACGATGGCTTTTGGGCACGGCAGCCGTACACCTTCCACCAGGGTCGGACCCCCATTCACTAAATCACGGAGTCCTCATGGGCACACACGTCTCCCGTCAAGAGCTACGGGCATTTGAAATGCATGTGTGATTGATGGCAGGGCATGCAGAGTGTAAAACCCACATTTTTAAAGGTAGACTGGCTAACCTTGTACAGTACTATAACACGGTGCTTTGGAATCGGAAGCACCGGGCAGTAACACTTGCTGCCAAAAGAGCCGTATTTATTAACTCAACGGAGCTGCAAGGAGGAGGATCGGAAGGGCAGAACACAGTATTTCATCTCAAGAATCACTTTTGATCTTCGTCAGAGGTCTCATAAAACCATTTTCCTTTTTTTTTTTAAGCTGGACGTGCTAATCAATCCTATAAAAACTGAAAGGTTATGAATTTTTTATCACCGCGTTGTGGCTTTCGAGTTAACCGTAAATATTTATAAATTCCCTCTTCCCAACACATATAAAGGTAGAAGCATTGGTAGGAAGGTAGAGAACTAGAAGAATTGAAGACAATATCATTTTGAGTTTTTCTTTTTTCTTTTCTCTTTTTTGATGTGTAAGATTTTGCAAAACATTTTATTATGTTAGAGTAAAGCAGGGGAGGTGAAAAGACTTTTAAGTGTCTTCAACTTGGAGATATCATTTTGTAGTGGGTAAACATTTCCCATCCACTGTGGCTAGAAATAAGAACTTCGCATGTTAGTGGCTTTGTAGAATTTATAAAAACACAAACTGTAGGCGATTCAAATTTAGCCTCATCTCATCCCAAGCCTTTGAACCCGAGAGAAAGCTGAAGGCTGCCTGACTGTTCCGTGAATAAAAGATGTTTCATCTGACAAGAAGAGTGGAGTAAGATCTGTTTTCTTGGGCTTATTTTTGAGGCCTTATTCTTTCTCTAAGAATTTGTTTTACTTGTGGATTGAAAAACGGATTGTCACCTCTGCCAGTTTTTATAAAGATACAAAGCCTTATCAGAAAAATACATATTGTTAGCCACCACTGTTTGCCCTTCCAAAGTGCCTGCCCTGACTCACCTTGGTGTGCTGACAACCCAGAAAGTGAAGAGAAGGAACAGAAATGGGATACATGGTATGCTTTCTGCCACTCAAAAGGGATTTGCTTTTGTTTCAGGATTCATTTTGGAATGAAGGGCTCCATCACCATTAATTCGCTTGAGTATAAAAATAAAAGTGGAGTTTCTCCTGTGTTGGAAGTCCAGCTCACCCGGGATTTGATTTGTTTCTTTGACTCGTCGGTGGAACTCAGGTGAAAAATAAAATAAAATAAAATAAAATAAAATAAAATAAAATAGTGCTTCAGCTTCAGACGTCTAAGGGGTATCACATGTGGAAATAAATAAATACATAGAATTTTAAAAATTGGCTTATAATGGATAAAAGCTCATCCTAAAAGAGCCTTCAAATACTAGAGCCCATTGGGTCCTATTCTATCAAAGCTCATTTTCAGTGACACTCTGTGAAGTCGCAACCAGACGTATGATTCATGTGTCTTATATCCCTTCCTATAGAAACGCAGCCGAAAGCCGACAAAGAGTACGCATGATGGAAGAACTGGATGTATGCTCGCCCAAATTTAGCTTCCCCCGAGCCGAAAGGGAGCTTAAGCAGCAGACCGGACGCATGCTCTGCGACGTGTTACTGGACCAGCGCGTCCTGCCGGGGGTGGGCAACATCATCAAAAACGAAGCTCTCTTGGACAGCGGTCTCCACCCAGCTGTGCAAGTAGGTCCTGTGTATTTTTTTTAAACTGTGTCTGTATTTTTAAATACTGTTAAGGGACCCACACGGAACACTTAAATCTGCATTGTGCGGTGACATTCTCCCCGGACAGGTCCCAGAGGCCTGGGCTCCTGTCAGTCTCTGTGAGGCCAGCCCTGCCCGCGCTGTTGAAAACTGTTCTCGCCTCCCCACTCCCGATCCATACTCCCAGCCTCCCATCACGTGCTTTGCTTCTTATTTTCCCCACACCCTGGATCACTTTCTAACACTGTGTACTCTTTGTTATGTCTGCTGTTCAAAAAGCGCTCTCCTCTGCGAGAATGCGGTCTCCTAGGAGGGCCGCGAGTCTCCGTTCATCGAGGTGCCCGAGCAGCAGGATGCAGCTGGGCGCAGGATTGGCCTGAGCGAAATATTTGAGGAGTGTGTGAACGAACTCGGCTCACACCTTTGTTTGTTTTCGTAGCTGGCATAGTAAATGCACACTCAGCAGACCCTCCTGACTCCTGGGAAATGCAGATTCCGTGGGATGGGAAGAATGGAAGCGAGGCAGCAGGGGCTAAGGGATGAGTGCTCAGGGAAAAACTGGAAACAAAATTTGGAGTGCTCGTTAAAATAGCTTAGTTTGGAGGGAAGGGCAAATACTAGACTTCTAGAGGAAGCTGCTAGTGTAACCGGAAAAGACACCGGCGTTCGGGCTGCCTGTCACTACCAAATTCAATAAGCAATGACAGTGATTGAATCTTTTTTGGTGCTTTATTCAGATGGCCGGGGATCCGAGAAGATGGCAGGTTCATACCCTAACGAACCATTTTACTCTTTCTTTCCCGGCCAGATCTTTTATAAGGGGTTTGGGGGAGGGCAAACAAGGTGTCAGCGAAAGCCTTTGAAATTCAACAGTTGCCTCCAAGGGGGAAGGGTAGTCGCTTGCTTCTTCCTGGTACAGAGGTCTCCAAGAGGTCATCTGCTTATTCTTAGGCGCCAAGATAGGCCTTATCTGTAGTTACTGAAACAAAAACTTAACATACACATCACTTGCTAGATTGATGACTATTTACCTTAAGCTAAATTTTCCCAAGTCTTAAGCCCCTATCACTAGGACTAGAACTGGGTTTGTGGTGGTTGTTGTTTCCTTGTTCCTCCGCTGGAGAGATGCGAAGTTATTTATACGTTGAGAGAAAAGTACTGGCAGAACGGGAGAGGTTAAGACCGCAGAAAACAGGACAAAGCTGCGAGAAGGTCAGAGAGGTTAGACCTCAAGCCGGGTGGAGGGATACATACATTTTCGCTTCCAGGGAAGCTGTGTCCATTGTGACCTTGGTCCAGACCCAGATGGTGTCTGTTACTGAGTCATATTTTCTACACAATCCCCAAAACACCTTTGTATTTTGTGTAATTATTTCCCGGACAGTTTCCGCGCAGTCCAAGTCAGTGGGAAATACGCTCTCAAAGAAACCCATTCCTGATAGTTCTCTACCGGGCCCTGCCTGCTGACCGTGTAAACACACAAGTCACACCTGTGCCATGTGCGGAAGATGAAACAGAATTTGAACAACAGGCCTTTAAAAATCACCTAGACCTCTATGGAAAATGTTTCTGGGGGGGAAAAAAAAACTCAAAGTATTGTTACCTACAGTATTCTTATAATCTATGGTAAGCTGATAATTTACTTTTTATCTTTCCATCCATCCAGCTGTTCATCTAGCAAAAGATCATTTGCTCATAACATCTGAGGGGTTAAATATTAATGGCATTTCTGAAGCTTAGCCATTAGCCCCCTAAAATCACATGTATAACTACTGAAAAAGTAGTTGAACACTTCAAGGTATAACTGAATATAGTATATCAGATAGGGTAAGAAAAAGATGAATGGTAGAAGTACCTAAGTTTTAAATTAAAGTCAAACATTGAAAATGGATATAATACTTCTGGAATGATTCTGTGGATCAGGTGACTTTCGGTTGTACGGTCATTGATAAAAGAGTTCCTACTGTGTGGAGCTGTAGATGTCTTCCTATACCTACCGCAAGCGCAGGGTATCGGACAGAATTTCCTCCGCAGACACCTCGAACCCACCTGGCCAGACGTCCGTTAGTTCCACCAGGGGGACAGCTGTACGCCGGCTGCGTCTGCGTCCGGAGACGTGCTGCAGCCGGGCCTGTTTCCGCGCTCTGCCGCGTGCTCACGAGGGCTCCAGTGTTCCTGCGTGTGTGTGCATTCCTGCCTTTTGAAAGCTCGGAAGTGAACTTGATGGTCATCTACTCTTACGCCTATTTCCCCTCCCTTCCTTCTTTCTCTTTTCTATGCTTCTTCTCTAATGTTCCTGCAAACCCAGCAGGATTTTTTAAGGTGCCTGATGGCCAGTCTGGCACGTTGTAGATGTCTTGTGCAGGAGAGATCGTCAATAAATACTTGAACTTAGAACTAAAATTTGTAAATAAGATTTTTTTTTAAATTTGTAGTGCTGTCACTTAAAAATAAAACCACTGTTAATGACATTAAATAGGCATGTGAGAAATGGAGTTCTAGAAGGTAGGTATGCATTTTAAATCTATCTACAGTTCTTTTAGAACTGGCCAGTGGTATCGTTTTTCTATAGTGCACGGATAATGAAACTCCCCTTGGTTGTTTTTCTGTTTTAAGGTTTGTCAGTTAACAGATGAACAGATCCATCACCTGGTGAAAATGATACGTGACTTCAGCATTCTTTTTTACAGGGTAAGAGCAAATATTTTTCAGTTATGTAAAATGTCAGTTTTTTTCCCCCTTCAGTGACACCGAAAAGAGTAAAGGCAGTGTATAGCCATCTAGTGGTGAGAGTGTAGAAGTGCAATCACGGAGAGCGCCCAGTTAGGGGCCTGGTTGACATCTTGAGATGTAGGTCATGGGTCAGTCCAAACTTGTCTATTATTGCATTAAAGTATCTTTATGCTAAGTTGGGAGCAGCTCTGTTAGCCTTGACTTGACTGAATTTCTTTAAATAGAGCTCACTTGGTGTTTCACCACTACATTCAGTGTGGTTGAGATCATTTAGTTAACATTAAGTTTAGTGTCTTCATCTGTAAAATGGGACAATATTTATTACCACAAAGACTGTTTTGAGAATGAACTAAATACTGGCTGAACTATAAATTTCGCATTATATATATACACACATATATGTATATACACATACATGTATATGGATACATAGAGAGTTCAATAAACACATTTTATATTTTAACAAAGTATCGAAATATTTTTCTCTACAGCCTATTTTCTGTGTTCAAATTTTTATTTTCACTATGTTCAGAAAGGTATTGTGAAATTCGTCATTAGTTGGCCTGGCGTATTCATGAACCCCTCGCTTTACACATCTGCCTCCAGTATCTATGGCTACTTCAGTATTATGTGTGATGCGGACCCTGGCTTGTGGGGTCCACGTCATTATGGATGAAATAGGAGACAAATTCACACGGACTACGGAGTCCGGTGGAGGAAAAGGGACGGCATGGGCATGGCTTTTCTCTCAGGGGGAGCAGAAGCCTTGGCCCTCCCTCCAATGAGCTTTTATTGGCTTACTGGGCACACTACAGGAAGGTCCTCATTAACTATGCACAGGCTCGCTTTAGGTGGTTACCTTATACAGAAAACAAAGGAGAGGATGCTGGTAATCCCATCACAGAAGAGGGAGATTTGCAAATGAAAAGGCAAAAGTAGTTGAACCGGTTACACTCATCCTTGGAAGGTTCAGCATGGATTTTAGGAAGTTGCTTTGCATTAAATGCCCTCAATTCAGAGATTTAGCAAAAAGTAAGACTCCTAGCAGCCAAGGTGCATTGCAGGCCTGGTTCCCCACGGAAAAACCTATCCGTGGGCATAGGTCCTGTGCATCTCCCAGTGGGAGCTGGGCCCACGCCACGCAGAGCAGCCTCCCACAATGTGTGCTCAAGCATTCTCCTAAGGAAACATCATTATAGACAGCTACCTAGTTTCTGCTCAGATTAAGCCGGTATTTCTGTACTTTGCTTACATTAATGTAAGCTGTTTGCGTGATTTTTAGCTGATATATGCTGAGCCATATTTCCGAGCTTTCAAATTTTCACGCTGCTGACGTAAACCCAGAATATTCTTTTGTAGGAGCTGAAATGTATGTGAGCAGAATAAAACTGGGTCAGGGAATATCAAGTGCTTTTGAGATAGAACTTATACCAAAATGGAACATGTGCTTTGCTAGGATGGCATTTGAATTTTCGTCCTCTTTGTTAAGTAAATCTGCAAGACGAAAATCTAAAAAGTTTCCTTGATCAGGGCAACAAAGATAATCTTGTTCAGTTTTCTGTTGGCCGTTGAAATGAAGTGCAGCTCTATAGTGTTCTAAAAATAATCAGGTTTAAAGCTAACCTAGTCTTTTTCTTTTAAAAACACCATAAAAGCATGAAAGACCTATTAAATTATAGAACTCATATCCCATGTAGATAAGAAGGTAAAACTTTTCAAAGAACACTTTTTGAATACTAACAAGTAATAAAATAATGACTTAATTATTTCACGCAAGTCTTATTTGACAAATGTTGCTGAATCTTGTTAATACCCTTTTCTCAGGTGAAAGAAGAGATTATATGGACATAGGTACAATAATTTTTTTTATTTATTTTTTTAAGATTTTACTTATTTATTTTTAGAGAGGGAAGGGAGGGGGAGAGAGAGAGAGAGAGAGAGAGAGAGAGAAAAACATCAATGTGCAGTTGCTGGGGGTCATGGCCTGCAACCCAGGCATGTGCCCTCACTGGGAATCAAATCTGTGATGCTTTGGTTCGCAGCCCGCGCTCAGTCCACTGAGCTACGCCAGCCAGGGCTTGTACAAAAATTTTTAAAGAATTATTTTCAGAAATGACTTTCAAGAACTTACCTTTGGCTCCTGAGCAACCCTGTTTTATAGATAGCATTACAATGTTGTTTGTTTGTTTGTTTGTTTTTAGTGCCATAAAGCAGGATCTGCTGTTTCCAAACACTATAAGGTTTACAAGCGTCCTGACTGCGGTCGGTGCCGCTGCAGAATAACTGTGTGTCGCTTAGGGGACAATCACAGAATGACGTACTTCTGTCCGCGCTGTCAGAAAGAAGATCCACAGCAAGTTGACATACGGTGAGATGTGTAATTGTCAGGCATACTGGTTGTCCCAACTCGCTGACTCAATGGCCATTCATAAGAAAACATAACTGAATATCTGTCAGGCTATTAAGAAGAAGGCAGAACTGAAGTGTTTGCACCCTTGGAAGGAAATAGTGAAAGCCATCGTCAAAGAACTAGAATGAGCCAAAAGTCATTCTTTGGATCACTTGTGAATTCAGTAGGTGATCTCTAGCTCAGATGGTAACACCCAGCCTCTGGCTTTAATGTGTTTGTAAAGCGGTTGCGAGGAGGTGTAGGTGTACGGTAACTGGAGACACGTGCCGGCAGACCTGGGCTGTGGAATAAATAACAGGAGCACCACCGCTATGCGGGCGGGGCACCATCACGGAGCAGCTAGCTGACATGGCGCTGTGTAGGCACTGGGGAGAGATTCTGGAGGCACGTGATGGAAACGTAAATCTTTGCTCATGTTCCTGTCCATGCTCGAATTCCCACGTGCCTCCTTCTCTCCCCTGATTTGGCTGAATCAAGATATTGTAGCTTTGCTTTGGGAACAGTACCCCTTAGTTAAAACATTATTTGAGACATGCTTCCTAGTAATCAGGTCCGATATTTGTAGTTGGTTTAAAAAAATAACACAACCACAACTCTTTGAATAAAATCTTTGATTAGGTATTTCTGTCTTTTTTTTTTTTAAAGATTTTATTTATTTATTTTTAGAGAGGGAAGGAAGGGAGAAAGAAAGAGAGAGAAACATCAATGTGCGGTTGCTGGGGGTCATGGCCTGCAACCAAGGCATGTACCCTGACTGGGAATAGAACCTGTGACACTTTGGTTCGCAGCCCATGCTCAATCCACTGAGCTACGCCAGCCAGGGCAGTATTTCTGTCTTGAATGGCCATCAGCAAGGCCCAAGTGAAACCATTCTGTTGAGATAGTTCGAACTTGTGTGCAAGAATAAACATGTAGCGTTTGGATGTACGCGTGGGGTTCTGCGGTAGTTTCTAAAATACTGAGAATGTACAAGAACAAGGCAATAGCCACAGTGCCAGTGGTTCGCTGTCAACATTCTCTGCAGCAAGCTGCCGGCTAGAAGCACTGCCCTCAGCCAGACGCCCAGCAGCCGGGACAGTCTTGTGGACCAGGTGGCCGGGAGGTGTGAGGAGTACTGGGCGTGTGTGGCTTGCACGCTCATCAACACGCCTACTTCCAAGGCCTGCGACGCTTGCCTGACGGCCAGGCCTCCCGGTAAGACTGGGTCTGTGCTTGGGGCTCATTCCTTTCCAAAGAGGTTTAATTCTTCTACCAAGTCTGGTATGTTCCTTGCTCTGTCTCCATGCCTCCTCACTAAGGGAAACGCTTTCTTTCTGAAAGATTTACTGGAGTTGCCGGCTTCTGCGTGTAAACCGTGCTAATGTGCTGTTGAGAGGGAGGAAAACACGCTTGAGCTAAAGAAGTGTGCGCCTCTGGTAGCTCAGAAAACTGCCATGATCACATCTGTTCTCCACTGCTGCTGATGAATTATTCAATAAAGCCTCGCCTTATGCAGATTTCAGCAACTTGCGGGTTTGTTATTCAGCCCGAGTGTTTCATAAATTGAAAGGGAGGATTTCTGTGAGAATGTCTCTGCAGGTGGAATAGAAAAAGGCGGAATTTTTTCCCTCTTCTGTATCCTCCCTACCCCTTGTTATTACAATCTTGACTCAGACAATTGTACTGATTTCATTGAAATCCTTCAAAATAACTCTCTGTCGCTCCCAGTTTCCTGTGTTCAGAGAGAGTAAAGCCCGCGGAGGGGACCTGTGATTAGGAACCATCTTATTGATGCGGCGTCTGTTGTGTTCTCGGAGCGTTCCTTCTCTCTCCAATTAGAGATGAGCCCGTTCGCCCTTGACTTCTGGGCCCCCGCATGGCGTTGGCTGTCGCGTTGTGTTTCGTCCTGCGGGCCGGGAAGGGACAGCACCGAGGGGACCCGTCTCCTGTCTCTCCCTCTAGGCGTCCTCCCGCCAGAGAGGCATTGGAAAACCCCGCTCCCGGGTTCCCACGTTTACCCCCATGTCCTGAAATGCCTGTGCACACGTGGCTGTTTTCTTGTTGTTTCATTTCTCTGAATAAGACACATCACTCTTACCTATAACCCAGGTCGTACTGTAGTAAGGATTCTGCAATCCCGGAATGCTTCACGGAAACATTCATCTTTGCTTATTTTTTGTGAGCTTTTTCTCTCTTTGTGTGGTCACTGAAAGAAACCTTCCTGACCATCTCGCTGCTGGACTCTGCCCGCGGGTCTAAAGCTTTTAGCGAAGTCACCTCCTGGATGCTGCTTTCACACTGTGCCCGGCAGTCACCGGCGGGAGACCCGAATCACCCTGAAATGCTCCAGGAGGACACGGAGCCGGGTGAATCTCGGGAAAAGCCAACCCTGAGTCCACGTGGGGGAACCGCCGTGCTGCGTGCCTCCTTCCCGAGCCAGGAGGCGCGTCGGGAACTGCTCAGGCCGACTCCCGGTTATTAGTCCTGCAGATCCGTTCACGGCAATGAGCAGACTACATAGTTGAACCAGACGAAAAGATGTTTCAAATACTGTTACGTTTATACCCCAGAGTGACTTATCTCTCCTTCCAGATTCGATACTCAAGAAGGAGGAAAATCCGGCCCTTAACCACTTGGTGAAGTACCCGTGCAACAGCTTTGGGAAACCCGGTGCCCAAGTGAAGATCAACAGGAAAACTGCATTTGGAACTACAACCCTGGTCCTGACTGATGTCGGCAGTAAATCCAGCCCCGTGGAACGAAGAAGCAGCCCACGCCAGGCACCCAGTGGGGAGTTGCGGAACTCGGCTCCCACTGACGTGTGTGTCGGTGGCACACCCGCCCCTTCCGAGGAGAGAGCCCACGGCGCGGCTCACCGCCCCAGCACGGGAGTTGCACCCTCCACTGCCCGCTCGCGGTCTGAATCACCCAGGCCAGCGTGTAAGAAACCGAGGACGACCGCCCGCCCAGCGCCGAGTCTCGACAGCCGCAGCCCCGGACTTCCCGACAGGTACGGCGCTTCTCAGCGTGGTCTCTGCGGCGTTGGTGGGAAGGCCCAAGGGGGCAGAAGAGCCCTCCCCGGCCGAGGCGGTCGCGTTGGTGGCGGTCACGTGAGCAAACCCGAGAGACCGTGACGGTCCGGTGCTTCTCGCTTCTCCAGCTTGTCATGCAAGAGCAGGGAGGAGATGGAGAAAGTTGTTCTTTCCGGACGATAGCTGTGCACATGCCCAGCACAGGACATTCAGACAGTGTAAAGAAAAGTGTTTGAGTCGCCCATAATCGTACCGGTTATCCATCACCACTGTCACCATTTTCTTGGTATTTTTTTAAATCTCCTTCCAATGAAAGATGGTTTTTCTAAAAGGGGCACTATCATTTACAATAGTTTAGTAAGTGTCTTCTGTTCCAAAGAGAGGGGTCTGAGGTTCTTTTAGGGACATTTCTGCTAAAGAAAGTGGCTGTATCTCAAGTAGCCATGTGGGGTGGTGTTTTTTTGTTTGTTTGTTTGTTTCAACCCAAAAGGCCCAAGGAGCATGGGCATCTGAAAGTAGGGACCTGTGCTTCCCGTGAGTAAACACAGCCCGAGCAGATCCGCGTCATGAGGCTACCAGCTCGTCTAGAAGGCCCCAGCTGCTGTCACCGAGATACGGAACATTTAACTATAAAGTCATCTCTCGTTCCGTGATGATGATTGGCAGCTGCCCACACTGCCTGTCTGCACTCCTTCCCTGTCGACACTGCTTCTGAGTCTACACTCCTCCCTGCCTTGTTCAGTCCTTGACCTGGGCCCCCCGCCCCCGCTGTCCCAGCTGTCCCAGCCTGCTGGTGGCCCCCTCCGGAGAGACACCCCTCCACCATTTTCTTTTCCAAGCTCTTTGTGGAGGGCCCCTCCCGTCAGAAACAGGGCGCTGTGTACTCAGCATTTTTAAGTGAAGTGGAGGTGGAGAGTCCTCTCCCCGTGCGTCCCGGCTTACCTGTGGGGAGCGAGCCGGGAGACTTAGTGAGTGGGATCTGAAGTGATCTCGGGGGCAGGGGATGCAGTTCCCCCTCCCAACTCTAAATTCACTGTCAGCTAATCCTGAGGATTTACCCTTGGCTGATTTTTAAATTTTATCTTGTGTATAATCATTTATAACAACTGGTTTAACTTTAGTCCACGATACTCTCAAACGATAGACATTTGAGTCAAAGCAAGGGGCCAAACCCTGACCGGGTCGGTCAGGGCGCCACCTTCTCCTTCCGACCCAAATTAATGTCTCACGATGAGCATTTTCAGCGGAAAGCAGGAGATGTGATCATTTAAAAACAGTGTGGCATTTGCTGTGCCCAGATGAAATATCTCAGCTTATTTTGATTTCCTTAGTGCTTCGGAGGATATCTCACACAATTTAACTAATGAAATAGGGATTTAAAAAAATATAAAAAAGACATTCATGTGACCTTAAATTTGAACTATTCCTTCACAAGCTGTTGGTAACAGGGTTGCATGGTGAGTCACGGGACAGGCATGACTCGGGAAGCGGCGGCCCCTGCGTGGGGGCGGTGGAGGGCGCCCAGGACTGAGCCTCTGGAACCGGTCAAGGTCAACAAGCGAAATAAACGTCAAGGGATGAAATACACTTACCCAGCCGCCCTTCCGCACCCGGCCACTTCGCCAGGAATAAATCGCAAATTACTGTCATTTCTTTCATTTTTCTCCCTGTCTGGCAGCCACGGCGCTCATCTTGGGGACAGGATGCCCAGCGGAAGCTCACCACGTAATACCATTACAGTCGGTGGGCCACTCAGAGACTTGGTCGCCGGCTCAGTCTTTCTTTAATAATTACAGGGCCATTAATTTGCCTTTAGTACTTTTAATTTACTGATCCCATCAACACACGGCGATGAGGCATATTTTCGGAGTGATCTTTACATACACTTGAATTTTATCCAGCTGCTGGGTTATCAGTTAGATGGTTGAACCCGTTTTTAAGCAGCAAAGAATAGATGCTAGGTACAGTTTTAAGTCTTTGCTCCCCTTGTTGTAAATACAGAGCACAACACGGAAATGCGTTTTTCAGAGCACACAGGTGTTTCAGGTTCAACTTTTCCCCCCGGGCAGATGCTAAGACTCTCGTAGATGTGTCAGACGGATCCGCCCACTCCTCTCGCGTCTGCCGCTGCCAGGGTTGCTTACCCAGGTCCCGCCTGTACTCACCAGGGACGCGCTGATGCTGTAGCTGTTCCGGGTCACCTTTGAGAGCTGTCAGTCCCCGAGGGTTTCAGGGCCACCCGGGTCCATCTAGGATGAGGCATTAATCTCTGGTGGTTTGTTTTAGTTCCTGTAACACCGCTCAACCACAGCATTTACAACCCATGAGACTGATGCATGAAAAAAAAATGTGGACAATGTAAAATCAGTTAAACCATGATAAATGGATCACTGAAAAAATAATATTCATTTTAAAATTACAAACCTGGAATTGATAATGTCCTTCTTCATAATAATAGTTTTAATCTGATCTGTTACTTGTTTATTTAGTAATCAGTAAGTAGTTATTAGAATCTCTTGAGTACCAAGCATTGCTCTAGGTTATTTTTTTTTTTAATTTTTAAAGGTTTTATTTATTTATTTTTAGAGATGGGAAGGAAGGGAGAAAGAGGGAGAGAAACATCAATGTGTGGTTGCCTCTCGTGCACCCCCTACTGGGGACCTGGCCTGCAAACCAGGCACGTGCCCTGACTGGGGATCGAATCAGCGACCCTTTGGTTCGCAGGCCGGCGCTCAGTCTGCTGAGCCGCACCAGCCGGGGGTTGCTGTGGGTTCTAACGACCTCTAGCCAAGCAAACGACTACAGCAGCAGTGCTGAACCCAGCCCACCACCTGTTCCTGCAAATAAAATTTTTTTGGAACAAACCCCATTCCCCTTGGCTGCCTTCTTTTCTGTGGCTGCAACACCACAAGCCATGGGACCCACCAACCTAAAGTCCGTGTTATCTGAAAAGATGGGACCCCCCTGATCTGTAATGGTCTATGCTAATAGACCATTTATAATCCTTGCTATCAAAGTAAGAGTTTGCCTAAGTAAACGCTGTGCTGACGTTTGGAAATTTTTAAAATAATGATTGAAACAAGGAGGGACCAAGATGTCCTCAAATGAATCAGAACATTTAACTGTCTTGGATAATGCTCCCTCGCACAGCATGAAGATTGGCTGTGCATCCTGGGAGCCCACGTGATCGCTCTGCCTGGGCTCCGGGGAGCGGCGGGCACTCCTGCAGGTCTGGGGGCTGCCCTCTGACCCTGCTGCTTCCCCTCGGTGGACCACACTCTGACCCAAGGATCAGACAGTATGCGGCTGGGGCTGGTTTTTCCTCCCTAACTCTACCCCGAGGAAGGGGCGGAGCGGGACGCAGAGGGGACAAACCCAGAGGAGACACGGGGGGCCTTTCCTTTTCGCCTTCAGCCTCTCTTCCGTCTGCCCGGACCCCGGAGGGCTCTCGGTTGGAGCAAATGCATCAGAAAATGTGTCACAACTTGTTATCTCGGACAACCACCTTCAAAAGATCAGATAAAACTGTTCTTCCATGTGCCCTTTTTTAAAAGGACAGCACCATTTCATTCCTTGCTGTTAGTGTTTTAACCTCTTTTTTTTTTTCCTCCTTAAAGACAAATTTAAAAGCTCTGTTGATGACCCACTGGCTCCAGTTTTGAAATCTCTTGACTTCTCTATAGCCACAAAGACCATCCAGATATTTAGCTTCTCTTGAAGTTCAAGTTTGAATATCCCCTGTCTTCAGGGGGTTGGGTGGTCCCATGGAGGGGGTGGTGGAGAAGAAGAGTGTGTTGCCCTTCAGCTCCCTTCTTTCTGGCTGGCATTACTTGGGACTCTAAAACACAAGCCTCTCTTCCCCACCCTGAAAAACTTACCAACACACCAGCTGTGGCAGAATATTCCCAGTCACGACTTCCTCGGCGATTAGCATCTTTTCAATTACGACGGGCTCTTCCAAAGTCGAGGACATCTAGTTTAAGAATCAAAGAAAGGGGAACTAACTACTTTTGATTCAGAAGTATTTTTAAAAAATTATTTAAGAACGCTATTTTGTTCCTGACAAATTAATTGAGACAATGAGAAGGGATGCGCCTTTTTGCCATTAAAAAGTTACGAAATAGGGACATTAAAGACTGCTGGTTTTAATTCATGTGAGCGCTTTCTCTTTTCAGCTATTCATTAAATAGACTCTTATAAGGGCATTATGAAAAATATGCAACAGATTTTAAAAGGTTAAAAATAATCGTGGGGCTTCTTTTCAAAGAGCAGGTTTGCTCACACAGCTGCAGGGCGGGGCCTCTGGCCTTGGCCCCCCTGTGCAGAAGAGCCTGCAGGTGCCCTTGATCCTGGTTGGGGTCGGGAGGAGCATCGAGGAAGCTCCCGATTTGCTTCACGTTATACTCGGTTCCGCTCCTCCAGTGTCCCTCTTCCTTGCGAAAACAGGACTGCAACAATTACAGTCGCTTGATCAAAGGAAAGCATGCACAGTTGTTTGCAGGGCAGAGAGTAGAAAGCGTGACTTCTCTGACCTTGTCAGAGCCATCGCTGAGGGTTCGCCACCAATGAGGAAACAAAGACTGTGAGGCTAGTTACCGTGTGGGTGGAGGGGGCCAGCTGGCCTTGAGAACATTTTAGAGGGAATAAAAGTCAGCACACCGATGCTGGGTAAGAGAAGGACCAGTGATCACAAAGGGAAACTTACGAAGTTGCACGTGCTGCATGCATAATTCAGCTGTGTTTTCATGCTCGGCAAATTTAAACGACATCCTTCAGGTCTACAGATGGCCTGGGAAGCAAATGGGTCTTACCTGGGAAAATGAAGAATTAAGACTTAGCAGTTTGTGTAGTTACCTAGACTTGACCGTGGTCCACTTTCATTGCATGGGCAGGATTCTAACCCAGGGTGAGGAATCACCTTAACTTTGTTACGCTGCAGTTACTTTGTAACCTGTCGTTGCAGTGGACTTCAGACCAGCAGGACAGACGACGCCCGCATTCCTCGCTGCGGTCAGCACCGCCGCCCCTGCGTCCTCCGCGTGGTGAGGAAGGGTGGCGAGAACAAGGGCAGATGCTTCTATGCGTGTCCTCTGCCTGGGGGAGCGCAGTGCGGATTCTTTGAAGTAAGTGTAAGATGCATCGAGCTTGCCACAATGTAGTTGAATACTTAGGTTATGAAAATGTAAAAAACAGAAATCCTTTTCCCCTTTTCCCTTTAAGTTTTAAATAGCCATTCAATCGAAAGCCTGAATGCTGAATGAAGCTAAAATTCAAGGAGGTTTATCCAGAAAAATGAATCAAATAGCAGCTGTTGTATCAGGAGAGTGTCTCATACTTGTAACCATGGTATGGAAGTGTAGCCCTTGGCTTACAAAGATAGCAAGTCACTGAGTACATTTTCCAGGTGGCTACATCATTGAAGAGATTGATTTGCTCTTCCTCAGTTCTGGGTGTGACTCTCGTGAGTAGAGATACGTGTTTCTCAACTGCTTCATTGGGTGTATAACCAAAAAAAAAAAAAAAGGAAATTCGGATCTGATTCGGTGCTGGAGCAAAGTTTTCTCGTTGGCCTTATCAGGAGGGAAAATCTGGCTTCAATGGGGCATCTTCGCAGGGAAAGTTTGATAATGATTTCAGATCTCAACCCCTGCACACAAGGGACTCCATCCTACTCCACGGATTGCCTTCTCGGGGAGCTTTTGCAGATGCAATGGAGAAAATGTTATTAGCAACATTAATACCATCCCAGCCTGCTTTTTACCTGTCTTGAGGCCAAAATCAGTCAGAGCAAGACAGTAGAATCTGCCTAAGTGAGTCTGAGCGACTGTGTATTGGATCCCTTCTTTTCATAAGGGTCTGAGGACGTTTGGTGTTAGCACCACGAGAGTACTTCTCTCTGAGTGGTTGCCACTAAAACAGACCTGTGGCAGGAACATTGGTGTTTGCTTTACAGTGAGACACAGGGACGCTCAGAGTTATTACGGCCACATGCTGTGTGACTCCAGCAAAGCTGTAAGAGATGCTTCTTGTAGGGTCTGAGCTTTTTATTTTTTTTTAATTTTTTTAAGATTTTATTTATTTATTTTTAGAGAGGGAAGGGAGGGAGATAGAGAAAGAAATATCAGTGTACGGTTGCTAAGGGTTATGGCCTGCAACCCAGGCATGTACCCTGGCTGGAAATCAAACCTGGGACACTTTGGTTCCCAGCCCGCGCTCAATCCACTGAGCTACGCCAGCCAGGGCTGGGTCTGAGCTTTTTAAAGCGTAAGGGCTGATGACCGGTACCGATGTTATGGCGGCAGATTGACAGTGATGGGGATGGAGACAGGGTGGTGCCCTAACCAGAGGTGCCCAGGCGCAGCCCCGCTTTGCTCCCGCCGCCGTCTGAACTCTCGACTTTTCTGTCTGTCCCGCAGTGGGCAGACCTGTCCTTCCCCTTCTGCAGACACGGCAAGCGCTGCGTCCTGAGAACGGTGTTGAAGATTGGGCCGAATAATGGGAAGACTTTCTTTGCATGCCCCCTGGGTAAGGAGAACCAGTGCAGTTTTTTCCAGTGGGCAGAAAATGGACCGGGGATGAACACTTCTCCAGGATGCTAATCTTTTCTCCTCCTGTGGAGCATCTAACGTTTAATCTCTTCAAACTACGTGTTTCGTCCCCTTTTATTTAGTGGAAAGGTTGTAGAACATCTATGGTGCTTTGTCAAGTTATTGCAGTGTTGGAAAACTGTTGTTTTTTTTTAATGTATGCCACCTTTCTATTCTATGGGTTTTTTAAATTTACCTTGATGAATGCTATTTGTGTTTTATCATATCTTTAGTATATTACACTTAGTGTGTACGTTTAATGTATTTATTAATGACAATAAAATATTTTTAGTATGCACTTGGTCTCTTATAACTTCTCTGGGGAAGAAATTATTTCTTTTAGGGGAGGATTATGCAGTACAATAAAATAATAAGCTATTCTGTTTGAAGTGAATAATTTTCTCAGGTGTTGCCACTACTCATAATATGTGATTAAAGGTATTTTCTGTTTTCTTAAATAAAATCTAAGAAGTAAGATCTCCTTAATGGAAAAGAATATTTGCTTCACTTTATTGAGCAAGCATCAGTTTCCTGTGGCATGCTGGAGGTATGCCCAACACTTGTATTATCTCAAATGCATTTCCATGGAAATCTGTGGTGACTCAGAATATAAAAGTAACATTTAAGAATAGGAATTAGGAGTGGGTGGGGTGGGGGGAAGTGGTGGTGGGAAAATGGAGCCAGCTGTATTCAACTACTAATCAAAATGATAAAAAAAACAGACATTGTCAGTATATCTTTGGAAGAGAAGTCAATTTAAATTTTTCTGATCTTGATTTTAATATCTATTAATGTTTAAAAAATAAGTCAACTTCAAAAGCTCAATAATGTGCTGTATTTTATTTCTAGTTTTAACTTCTTTTTTTCTTTCATATTTAGTTCAGGTAACTATATGATTATTTTGCAAAAGAAAAGAACCTTTACCTTAAGGTATTTCTGTATATTTGTGGGAAATTCTGTTCAGAGTGCTTGGATCTATTGAAAAGAAAAGAAAAGAAAAGAAAAGAAGGAAGGAAGGAAGGAAGGGAGAGGGAGAAAGAAACGAAAGAAAGAAAGAAAAAGAAAGAAGAGAAAAGAGAGAGAAAGAAAGAAAGAAAGAAAGAAAGAGAAAGAAGGAAAGAAAAAAGAGACATGGAAGCTGGCTTGAATCCCTTTCCATCCTGTCACTGCACAGAGCTCTAGAAACCCGCAGCAGGTGAGGTTACCAGCCAGGCCAGGGCCTGTGTCCTAGTCTCCCACGAGCTCGCACTCCACCCTGAAGAGACGGTTAGAACCAGCCTGAGGTCAGCGATCTCAGGCCTGCGAGCTCCACAGGGCCGTGACTCTGCAGGGCAGAACAGGGACCAGACTGGACCCTTGACGATCTCAGTGACATGAGGTGACATTCACCGTGTGATTTCAGAAGGAAACTGCAAATTAATTGTGACAGGGAGGGGAAAGGCCTGTTGCCTGTCAGGCTGTCATAAATGCCAGTCTCCAAAAATAAGCAAGGTAGTGACAAGGAAATAATAGGCAAATGAGCCAATCAACTTCAATAGGACAAACCTAGATGCTTATCTAGTAAGAAATGCATGCACTTTTTATGAAGAAAATGGTACTGCGAAGTCTCAAAGAACCAGACGGATAGACAAACTAGGATCTTGGTTAGAAAGGATGAGTGATTTTGTTTGTTCTATTAATTTTAGAGAGAAGAGGACAGAGAGAAACATTGATTTATTCTAGTTATTTATGCATTCATTGGTTGCCTCTTGTTTGTGCCCTGACTGGGGATCGAACTCGCAACCTTGATGACACTCGCCAGCTGAGCCACTCATCCAGGACAAGGAGGGGGGTTTTAAGAATCGCATTCTTCCACACTTAATTTTGAGCTTTAACAACATTTAACATCGAAATCTCAAGGAGGTTCCTGCGCTCCTTGTAGAGGAAGCTCCAGCTGAACCCCACTCTAGATTCTGGACAAAGTCAAATACAACACTGGGGAGGGGAGAAGAGCAGGCCCGGTCTGGGGAGAGGTGAGAGTTGAGAAGAGGGAGCAGCTGGAGGTGATTTCCCTCCTTTTATACTTTATGCCGAGGGCAGCAGGAAGTCAGCACCAGCGGGCTGGCGGAAGCTGCGGCGGAAAACCCTCTGTCTTTCAGGCCTGAAGAGCCAGCGGGCAGTTTGGGCAACCGGGGCCGCCGGCACCAGGGAAGAAATCTCAGGAGACATTCGGAGAGGAGAGGCCTGAGTTCTTCGCGTCGGCCCTGCCTGTGTCCTCGACTCACCCCTGAGCCGCACATGCGTGGGTGGGGCGGACAAATCACAGCGCGACGACAGATGAAAGAATTGCACCCAGATTCCATCTGCCGCCCAAGGCAGTTCGCAGTGTGAATCCAACCCAGGAGGCAAGTTCGTGCTGAGACACACACACCCACGGTCTCTGTAGAGGAGGAACGCACCAAGCCCCGTCTCCACCACTGCCCTGGGCCGTGCTCAGAGGTCGCTCCGCACCGTGCAACCTGAGAACCAAAATAACGTGGCCGGCTCCGGAGAAAAGACCAACAGCCCAGGGACCCAAGATGACAGAGGTGCTGGCGTCAGCGAGGGAGGGTTTGGAGCAGCTGTTGGAAGAGTGCTCCCCGGGCACACGTCACAGGGAGCGGTGCCGGACGGAAAGTCCGGTCTCCAAGAAGCAGTCAGGAAGTCTGAACGGAAAATATCTAAAGGGATAGAAAGTTGTACCATTGCCTCTGTGTCTTTAAAACACACGAGGCTGCTGAAAACAAGTCTAACGCTGTCTAGTATAATGCATGCAGATCCAATGCACGTGATAACCGCAGCCTAAGGACAGAGAGGTCCAAGGACCTGTTAGACCGCAAGTTTCCACGTTCTGTGGGAAGTGGCACCACAACAGCACTTGTGAAAACTTAAGTATGTGACTGTAATGCCTACCGCCGGATTTGGGAGCTTTTCAATCTCTCTTTCTATGAACACTTTCTCAGTCCCACACTCTTCCTCCGCGCTTCTGAGGTGTCGGAGATGCAAGGTCATATCATCAGACTGTTACTGTCCCATAGATGCCTGGGCTGTATTCATTTTCCCCTGTCCTTCTCTTCTCTCTCTCTCCCTCTCTCTCCCTCTCTCTCTCTCTCCCTCTCTCCTTCTCTCTCTCTCCCTCTCTCTCTCTCCCTGCACCTTCTCTCACTCGTGCTGAGTAAATTCCATTTCTCTGCCTTCAAGTTCACAGACTCTATTCTCTGTCCTCTTCACTCTGCTCTTGGGACCACCCGGTAAGATTTTTTTTTATTTCCGTGGTTGTATTTTTCAGACCTATAATTAACACCCGGTTCTTTCTTTTAGGTTCTGTTTCTTTGCTGAGATTTTTTCCCATTGGTTCCGAGAGAGTTTAGAGTGGACTCCAGGAGCACTGCTGTGAGGACGGCTATAGACCCTGCCGGGTGATTGCGGTGTCTGATGGCGCTCAGGCTGGGGGTCGGCTGAGCGTCTCTTCCTCCTCATCAGCATGGTTTTCCCGGCCTGGGACCCGATGGGAGATCTTTTATCGTATGCTGGACGTTTGGTTACCATGTGAGGAGACTAGATCTGAGTGAAACCTTTTTTTTTTTCTCTCCCACCAGAGCCATCATCATGCTCTGGCTGAGGCGTAGGGTCTGACTTACACTGTCAGTGTAAGTCCCACAGAGGGGCTAGTCCTGGGAGCCCTGGCTGCGGGATCCTGCTCGCCAGCCCCCAATCTTGCTGTGGCTCCTCGTCAGCCCCCCCGGCCCCCCCGTGCTGCTGCCAGCACCCGAGCTGCTTCCTGGCTGCCCGAGCCCTGAGGGCCCCATGGGCAGGACAGTGTGGGCAGGGGCCACCCTGCCTGCATCTGTCCTTTCGCCACCAGGTGGAAGGAGGCGGGGATTGTCATCTTCCCACAGCAGTGGCACCGGGACCCCTCTATCACCTCGTCGTCGCTGAGCTGAAAGTTTGGACGACAACTGTGTGGTCTGCTCGTATTCCTCTCCTTAGAGTTTGGCTACACGTGTTACGTATCATTGCATCTAATCCTGTTGAGTACCCTTGAAGTTGGCTCTGAACTGTCGTTATTTCTGATTTTCCAGTTGAGGACGCCCGGCCTGACCGATGGGGGGCAGGCGGGAAGGGTGCCTGGGCCTGCGTCCCACAGCCGGGGGCGGGGGAGAGGGCGGTCGGCGTAGGTCCGAGGCCCACACTCCCGAGCTGCCCCCCCGTCCACGCGCTGAAGAAGAGCCTGTGCACCTGGGACTGCATCCCGTGACGTGACGGCAAACCCCTAACATGGGCAGGTGAAGACACTGGTGGTCTGGCGATAAGATGGTGATCATTTCCACTCCAAAGTGTGTCACGTTCAGTTTTTTTAAACTTTTCAGTTCCAGTTGGCAAACAATACTGGATTTGTTTCAGGTGTACATCGTAGTGGTTAGACACTTATATAATTTATATAATTTACAAAGCCCACCCCCCGTAAGCCTAGCACCCATCTGACACCATACATAGAGATGCCATCTTAAAATTTCTATAAATGCATTTTATCGTTCCATTGCTTTCCATTGGCCCTATTTACCTAGCTGCCATTAAAATGTGGCCATCCATTATGGCCACGCACTTTCCAGCAGTTCCTGTCGCTGTGTATCCTGGGCCATCATCACGAGCAGGTTCCTGTGTGAGATGAAAGGACAGATGTCCTCCTGAGCTTCCCAGAAGCTGTGACCGCCCTCTCCTTTGCGTCTGCACACACGCTACAGTCTGCCCTGCGTTGTGTTGCTTGTCCCGCCTCTATTCCTCCCCCATGTCCGCCTCTTTGGGGTGTTGTGTGGAACCGTTTTTGTTCTCCCAGAACCATAGTAGGTGCTGTGCCTCGCACACAGTGGGCACTTGGTAAACACTTGTTGAATTTCGTAGTTGAAGGTCTAATAAAATGTCAGTCTGTTGAACATTTTTAATCTTTTCACCGCTGTTCAAGCATGCATGCACTTAAATGCCATTGAAAAGAATGTTGCTGGTTCATTAGAAAAGAGAAAGAAATTGTTCCGTGTCTAAAAGCTGTTAAATATGTCTAGTAATTTAAATTCAAGTCTCCTTTCTGGAGTTTCATAGAAATTTGCCTATGAAGGGACAGGCCCAAACTAATCAAATC